ATAATGGTTTATATTTATATTTATATATATATATATATAAGATTCTGTAATAAATTTTTGAAATTAAGAATTTATATTTATTTTTTTAAAGTTCACTAATTTTGAAAGGACAAAATGAGTATATTCACCTTCCAAAATGGATAATTCTTAACGAACCATCACACCAATAATAATCAAATATAACTTATTTGAAGGTATAGTATATAGCACAAGATCAATGCTTAGAGTGTAAAGCTATGATCGATTTGGTAGACCGCAACCTATTTAACCGAATGGAGACTTGACATGGAGACTAAGGCCCATGGATCATGTTCGAGAAGGCCTGATCCGGTAATTGGATTTCGTTTTTGTTGCGACAAAGCCTAGAACGTTTCACAACATGACCAAGAAATGGGCTGCTAGGATGATCCCACCAACTTCTTGTCTGCCTGTTGAGAGCTTCACATCATTACGGTCCAAATCCTGCTAAACTCTCACCGCTTACTTATCTTTGGAAGGAAATCGATATCGCCTACCGTTACCGCTGGAAATTATGCGTTTGCCTATACGACGACTAAAGAGAATTGCTGGCGAGGTCTCGTATATCCCAATCGCAAAACGTCCGCAGAAGGTGCAGCCAAGATAGACCTGTCATTGTTGGCTACAGAGACGTGCAGATGGGACGACGATGGCCTTTTCATTTGCTTGGCCAGTGGGCTTCCAACGAGGTGCTTTATTTTTCTTTGGTCGAACGACGTGTTCTAATCCAAAGTGCATCGACTTTGAGCAGAAAGCTTCTGTAGAATAAACGAGGGTGGCTTTGACCGTTCCTTTGGGACTTTGTGTGTCACTGATGCCCTTCCAATTTGACTTTTTGGCATACGAAGAATTTTACGGCATTTGCTCGAACGTTGTTGTCACGTCCCTACGACAATTTTCGAGATAAGGACATAATGATTCATCCTCCTCCTCCTCCATGTCTATGCAAACTTCCTTAGTATTTACGATACGTCGTCTGATGTCGCAAAGGCAGACAGCTTAGCCGTACGGATAGCAGACCACGCGCCTGGCAACATACACCGTCGTCTTTCACGTGGGACGTATTGTTTTGGTTGTACGTGGAAAATAGCGTACTGTATGGCCGCCTAATAGTTGTCCCCACTACCGTTCACGCAATAATGAGACGAGAGTATACCTTTCGCGCTCATTCACAATGCAGGCCACGAAGTGCATACATACGTACACGTAAATCTCATCGACAATTTCTTGCGAGTCGTCTTCTGGTGCATGTATGACACCATGGATGTCTCGTTGTACTCCTCTCGATTACCATGCAGATCGAGTGGTGAATCTGACAACACCTAGTTAGCCAGCCTTCATATACCAGTGCAGGTGCTTCCGGACTTCTCCTCGAAGAATCAAATTATGTGACACTCGTATTTGAGAACAAGAAGTCACCCCTTTCCAGCAATAAACTGAAGCTAAAGACACCTTATTCATTTGGTTCGAGGCTGAAAGTAGCACAGCCTGATTACATAGAATTTCTAAGCGCTGACAGAGACATGTCGGAATACGTATAACACAATAAAAACATGAGAAGAATCCTTTTTCTGAATAAGAAAAAAGGTGGAGAAGGAAAGAAATGAGAGTAAGTAACATTCATTTCTCTCGTTTCTCCTTTCTGTTCTCCGTCTTTTTTTTCTTCGCATGTAATTGCTCACATCCAAGAGAGATCAGAGATTTGATAGTTGGAACAGGCCACTGAAATCTCTCTCCTTCTCATCTTCGATGCTACTGTTCACCGCGTACGTCACCGAGGAGTTCAACTGGGTCGGACTCGATGAAGGTGTCAATAATTCAGAGGCCGCATTACGATTTTGACGATTGTTTGTCCAATATGTATTGGAGGTGTTGACCATCGGTTGGAAGAAGCATGGATCCAAGTTTCCATAGTTGACACCCGCTGCTGCCACTAGATTAGGTTGCATCACGATATCTTGCAACGGGTTGACATCTGAAGTTGGATGGAGCTGTGCCTCATCAAAGAATGGATCGTTTGAAGCAGTGGAAGAACGTAGTTTCTTAGATGGATTTAATTGTAGCTGTTGTGCTTGAAAAGAAGCTATTTGGTCTTCAACTCGGACTGTCGGGTACTGTTGCTCTTGAAGGTTTCGATCAAGGATATCTGAGTATTGGCATTGAAAGGATAAGAGGTTGGTGGCCATCATCAGTAGCTCGCATTTGACGTGTGGTTCGAGACCTAATAACACAGAGACGTCGAGTTGTGACGTCGGGTTGAGCAAGGACGGTGTGTGGAGCGAAGAGGGGTCGAGGAGATGAAGGCGAGGGGTGTGGGTGACAGGATCGATGCCCATCCCGAGAAGCTTCCTCCTGATGTGCGTGTTCCAGTAGTTCTTTATCTCATTGTCTGTTCTTCCCGGCAAGCGAGCAGCGATCGCCGACCATCTGTGTGTAATCCAAGATGAGAATATCAAGCACGTAAGTCAAGGTTTTCTTCTAACAGGAGGCCTAAATCCGAGAGACTTGGCTACAACTTACTTGTTGCCCAAAATACCATGTAGTCGGATGATTGTCTCCTCCTCTTCAAAAGAGAACCTCCCTCTTTTGATGTCAGGCCGCAGGTAGTTCGTCCATCGAAGACGGCAGCTCTTGCCACATCTTGCGAGGCCTATCCACGTGACCGCAAGCGAGTTCAACAATAATGCAAGACTCGGGAAAGTAATCGATGCTTATATCTGATGTTTCCTTACCAGCTTTACCGGGGACAGTTCTCCAATTGCGTTGCCCATGCTTCTGTATGTAGTCGATGAGCTTCTGGTCCTCTTCAGGTGTCCAAGCCCCCTTCTTCAATCCATTCTTGGGGCAACAAGGTGGTCTCCCCATGTCCAACTAGTGTGATTTCGGGACAGACGAGTGGAATCGATCTCGACCTTCAGGGAGAGACGAGTACTGGTCTCATTATGGACAGACGGATACAAGACTAACTGTACGTATGGTTTATATAGAACGGAAGATCCACGAAAGGCTGAGAGGGGGCAGGGAAGTCTAACGGATTCCGTGCCGGCGTATGTGTTTCACGCTGGCGACACCTCTCTTCGTGGGCGCCAACCTTTCGAGGCTTTAAAGACCCAGTAAAGTTTTGGAACGAAGGGTACACAACCATTAAGGAAGGAGGGAACCTCCAACCTTATCTGGCCATCACCATGGGCTGATTTCAACCACGTGTTGACACGTAGCCGAGTGATGGGATGCAGAAGTGACAGGCGGTTGGTCCCACCATCGTGGGCTTTCCTTTCCCCCGCCTTCACGGAGGTCTTGCTTGGATGTCTCGTGCGATTACATAAGCCGTGGCACAGATGACAGCAGGGATGATGTCTGCACCAGTACGAACGGTAGCAGGATTACTGGCGAACCATTGGAGCATCCCTGAGCTTTCCGGGAAGTGTGCGGTGTTGAACCATAGAGATCTGAGAGTCAAACCTAAGGAACCAAGGTTGATGAAACGGGCCGCTGTCATGGCTTAGGAAGATTTCAAGATGATGTACCTCCTTGTCTCTTGCAGAGAAATAAATGTTTCGGAGGTTTCTTACAAGAAACATGCTGCAAGAATAATGCACCATATAGACACCAATCGCAATTACTTCTCAACAGGAACTACTCACCTTGACAAAACTTCACAGCGATGCAGAAAGCGTTAGGAAGACTCAAATGTGATCCTCTTCTCATGGACGAGCTGCATATTGTAACAACAGCGAAGACTTTCGAGATCATACACCATGCAAAATCTAATAAATCAATGCACTGAGATGGCCCAAGACACGTTACAATCGATGCCACGCTACAGCCAGGTCAGTAAGGGGAGCACCCTCACACGTTAAGTCAGAATCCGTACCGAAACACTGGTTGGCATGTCCCGTCCCGAAAGCTCGGGCGGCACCGTCTGACACCGTCCTGCGCGTCCCGGGACAACGACTGCAAAGTACTGTCTTGTCCCCCGAGGATCAGCTACCACATCGAATCCACGTGTGACCGACCCTCGTACAATAATATAAAACCGACCCTCGTACAATAATATAAAAATCTATGACCAGCATCCGGTAAAAGAGGGAGGAGGACATAAAAGAGAAGAAAAAAATAACTTCTGACTTGCTTGTCGGAGGGGCCAAAGTCGGGAATCACCTAACGAAGGTTATTTTTTGCAAGCAAGCGACCACCCCTGAGCCACGAGCATCTCGACCTAGGACTCACCATCCAATAAACGAGAACGAGCTGCCAACCAGCCCGGGAATGGAGAGACGCTGCTCAACGCAGACGACGCCCGAACCGAGAAACACTGATCAACACCCCGTCACGAGGGCCCGGCCTACCTCGACGTTCAACTCAGTCAATAAAGAACTCCCGACATCGACCCGTGGACCGAGCCATGCTGACTCACCAACCACGATACATTTGTTTACCGACACTCACCATGTTTTACATGAGCTTTCTGTTTCAGATCACTGCCAATATGCTGTATGCTGACAAGGGATTAATCTTTTGTTATAAGATGCTGATTGACAATTGAAGATGGTAATATCAATGTTGCAGATTGTACAAGGGAGTCGAGTGAATGAAGGAAAGCAGCCGAATAGATTTTGTGAATCTGGATTCTCCTACTTCAAAATAAGACATTCCGAATGTAAAATATAGCTGCATATACAACAGGATTAGGAAAAAGGTACTGGATTCTCTTGAGGCTTCTTCCATGATTCAATTAGGAAAAAGGTACTGAACAGGCTGAAGCTTTGTCAACCAATCACTGGCATGGTTCATAACTTGAAGGTCACAGAACGGAAATCTCCTGTGCACTTTGTGATGGCCTCATTAGCTTTCTGAGTTCCCGATCTTTCTTCTCTCTTCTTTTTTTCTCTGCATAAATGGCAGTCGACATAGCTACATCAGAATTCAGAAAATTCAAACATTTTTCAAACTTAAATTCTGCTATCTAAGATTTACAGCAAACAAATATATAATATTCTTCGATTAGTAATATTTTAGGTTTTCCCGATTTCCAAGAGTCAGCCAATATCATGAAATCCAGTTAACTATTTATCAAAAATTTTGCTCTAGACACATATATAAGACCAGATATTTATATTTTCAACAATTACTTTCATTGGAAAAGCTGTGTTTTATCCTAAAGAAATGTATGAATCAGAAATAAATCAACAAAGTGCACAAATAGCACTTCTCGATATTGTGTGATGTTTAATGCAGTGTTCACCCAACTTCATCTGTAATTTGAAGACCAAGACAGAACAACTTCCAAAACTAATCATTTACCTGTCCACATATTCCTTCAAAAGCTCCTTTGCTTGAACTAATTTCGACAGAAGATTGCGATACACATCAAGATCTCTATCCACACTGCGTTTATTTATATTCAGTGCAGCACAAAGCTGTGAAACAGAAAAAAATGAGTCAATGCTAACCCAAGAACAAGGGTAAACCAGGCTTTCATGAATCAGAACACAGTGTAACGAGCAGTTGCATAAGTTTAGACAATGATAAACTTGTGCACCATATGGGCTATATATTGTCGCTGAGACTGTAGCTGAATCCAGAAAGAAGAAACCAAAGTTGTATACAAAAAGAACATACAAAATTGAATCAGCATTTTTTTTCAGCATGTTTCTGGGGAAAAAAAGAAGAACTGACCTACAAAATGAAAATTACCAATTAGAGATTTAGTTCATGAGGATGTGTGATTTCATTTTCTCGAGAAGTTATAACCATGCAAGCTAAAAGTAAATATTTTTAGGGTCCTGTAAATGGATGTCTTGAAGCATTCATTAATAATGCCCTCACCATATTTAATTATGTGATGTAGTGGAAGTTCTAAGTGTCATATATGGATCAAACTGTCTACACCATGTGCAAGACAAATTTTCTTAACATGAAGTGACCATGCTATTATTTTCCAAATTTATAAAACTATCTTTCTATCTTCACTATCAGTATGAATATTAACAATAAAGAGGACATCTCAAACTAGTCATCATAGTCTCCTAGAAATAGGGATGCAGAAGTGGATAAAATGCCAAAAAAATATATTTATAATGTTCAGATATTCCAGAAGTAAATAAAAAGGTTAGAAGTAAGATGGTTCAGTATGAAAGCAGCAGGTATCTACAACATTTTTTTAATAGAGGAAATAAAAAGAAAAGGAAGAAGAAAATCATCAGGAATTAAAAGATAAATAGTTTATGTGATGGAAAAAGTACAACCTTTTCCAAGACTGTAGGTTCAGTTGCATTTGCCAGCTCAAGTAGACGGAACAGTCCGATCGCAAAGAATCGACTGTAGCTGAAGTTTCCCTTACTCAGTGCCCGCTCTGAGATATCTTTCAAAATGGTCTCTACTTCTCCTTCTCTGGTGGAGAACTCTATTAATGAATTAGCAGTCTGAGCACGAGCCCACTCCTCCAGCTTTTTGGCATCACTTCTGCACAACCAATAATCAACAAGTTCATTGTTATTGAAGGTTGGTGGTACAAATTTATAAAATATTGGATAGAAGCTAACAAAACTTACAATGTCGTACACATATACATCACTGAATGTACTTCTAACCATATAGGTATAGTAACTTGTATGAAGAAGCATTCAACTAAGCTGTGGTCTCGATATGTGTCACATATCAGTTGCAACAAAATCAGTCTTCAAAGCTTATGGTTATATTGGAAACCAAGTTACAGATAGCAGCAAGACAAAAATGCTTGCTAAGGTACACAGTTGCAAAGATTAATCAGGCCATCCCAAAGGTGTTCTTGCAATGTATTTAGGCGTAATAACTTGCCAAGAAGCATTAATTGGGTATTCCTGTTTAAACATCACTCCTAAAGGCATTTTGGTGATACTCTATAACTGTTCTAGAGTTGGGTCAGGTGTGAAATAGAATAGGGATAGTAGCCATTTAAACTGATCACCCTTGGATTGTATCAACGTGTTATAAAGGACAAACTTATTGGAAAAGGCTCAGCTGACACAAAAATGGCAAAAACAATCTCGTTGTTTAAAAATTCTGTCCTGAATTATATAATAGACCGAGCTGCAAAATAGATTGTGGCCTCAGATATTATTAATGTGAAGTTATTCCATGGATGCCTAGATGGTGACCAACTTTTGTCATCTTCGTCATATTCTTTTTTATTGTGTGGCTTGTACCATAAAAAATTCCTAATTAATTCTATTCTCCTTAGTTTCCCTGATCAACTGTTACTACACTATGGTTCCTCTTAAGCAAGTCCAGCAGCCTCAATCTGCATCAATTGATAGCAAAGTGGATTATGGGGCAAATGTAACACTGAAATTAGCCTATCGCTAATATCCTGGCTTTCACTCAGTTTCCGGTCTATTTCATCCTTTGTTCATAATCTTATATCATATCATCTTTTAGCTATAACCAAGAATACACTATGATCAAAAGAGTGGAAATGAGGTCAAAGCAGACACAAGGACCAAATGAAACTGAAGTTGAAGTACTTAAACAAGGTGAATGATCAAAGAATATCTGAACGGACAAGGACAAAAATACGTGACAAGCCTCGCAATATATATATATATATATATATATATCTATCTGTTAGGATCAAGAGCGGGGTTGGCACTAAGAGGGGAGGGGTGAATTAGTGCAGCGGATAAAATCACGTCTTCAAAAAACCTTCGTACGATAAAAGCTGATTTCAACGAAAAACCGATTTCGGAAACTTAACTTGAAAGCGTACGTAAATGTATTGAAGGCAGTAAGCTATTAAAGAGGTTTGCAGTAAAGATAAATGACAGGAAGTAAATGCAAACCAGAGAACACAGCAGTTTTAGAGTGGTTCGGTCAACGTGACCTACATCCACTTTCGGCTTCCTCCTCCGACGAGGTCACCGACGTCCACTAGAGGCCTTCCTTCGATAGGCGTAGGCCAATCACCTTTTACACCCCTCTTCTCCTTTTACTGAGTTTAGGAGACAACCCTTGCAAGCACTCACGTACTCCTCTCTCAAACTAGTCTAATACTTAGAAGAGGGAGAGGAGTTCACACAAGATTTTAGCAGCGTTTCTTTCTTTTTTAAACTCTCTGTGCTTGTATGCTTTAACCACTTTCCCATCCCGGGTTCCCCGGGCACGGGCGGTACCATCACCTGCGCTGGGTGGTACCACCGCCCAGTGTCAGTCTGACACTGACACTGCCCTGGGCGGTACCACCGCTCAGATCTGGCGGTACCACCGCCTGGGGGGCAGTGCTAGGCGGTACCACCGCCTGACACAGTCTCGAACACTGTGCCATAACGGTGAGACTTCTTGGGGCACAGTTCTTACATGGGCCTAGCTGGCTCCTAATTGGGTTGGCCCAAATCCAAACCCAATTACGTGCTAATTACGATCTAAGACATAATCTGAGCTAAACAAGTCCGTAATTTTATTCTTCTGGCGAGCTTCCGGCGATCTTCCGACGATGTTCCGGTGGACTCCCGACAAGCTCCTGGACTTCACGACGATCTTCTTGGCGAGTTCCAACGAGCTTCTATGGCAAGCTTCGAGACTTCTCGATTGGTTCCGCCAGAACTTCCGATGAACGTCCGAACTTCCGACGAACTCTCGAACTCCCAACGAAGTCGTGTCCTTGACTCCGGGACTTCATTTTGCTTCATGCCTTGCTATCGTAATTAATCATGCACATGTAAAACACATTTCGATCTAGACAATTCATACTAAGCATTAATCATGTTGTCCGGCATGTCATTGGTCCCTTGACGCTTCGTTCGATTCTTCGGCGCATCGTCCTCTCTTGCGGCCTATTGCCCAATCGGCCAGTTGACTCCGAAACTCTGATATCCTTGGTGCAATATCCGCTCTTCTTGGCCCGATGCTCGAATCCATGGCACGAAGTCTTCTGTCGATACGTCGACCGATCCACTGGCACAACGTCTAATCTTCTGACATGTTTTCCCCCGACACAACATGATTCTTCCTGCTTTAATTGTCTCATCCTGATCGAAGCATCCTGCGTCACTCAAAACGCAGATTAAAACAGAAACACTTATCGATTGGTTTCATTATCAAAATCCAAGATTCAACAATATCCTCAAATCAAAATTGGGCATGTAACTCCCACAAATGAACACTAATAAAGAATGAGCAATAGTAAATAGCCACACACCACAACCACCATGACTTCTCTTGACTGAACAATGAGCAATAGTAAATAAAGCTCCCACAAATGAACACTAATAAAGAATCACCCTTCACTTTTGTAACTCCACAAATGAACTGACAAAATTGCGGGCATGTAAGACCATAAAAAATTTTGTAAAGGCTAGGCAAAACTTTCAATAATTCCTAGAATAAAAATTGATAGAACCATTTATTTAAAGTTATCTGGATAAAGTAAACGAATTTGTGCATTTTTTAAAAAGCATGCATAATTACAAAAGAGGTAGCAGGTAGATTGGAATAATCAAGCACCTGTACTGCTCAGGATCCTCCTTCAATGCCTGAATATATGCCTGGAAGATGGCATCTCGATCCTCACTGTTTGGATACCCTTCCATAAGCTGTTCATAAACAGTTACGAAGCCAAGGGCAAAGACAGCATCATACTGGTAGGTCCTTTTGTATCTCATCAGATGTTGCTGCACAAGCAGCTCTTGCAATACAGTGTTGTATATGCTTGGAATGGGCCGCTTGTATGACTTGAGAAAATTCAATTTTGTTTCGGATACAGTGGGTGGCGCATCTAATCAGTAAAAGTAATAACATATACTTACAAACAAACATTTCCTCCTGAATTATGTCAAATTTCACTAAAAAGGAATAGGAAGAAATAAAAAAGATGAAGGTTATGTTTTATTCCTTTTGAAAACAACAGTATTAATGTACATGCCATTACGAAGCTGCTTTCTGCAGCCATCTATGTTTGTGCATTTTACTATCGCCAAACCCCCATGGTGGGGTTGTCGGGATAGTTAATCTACAGCACAGATATACATACCAAATGCTCTGGAAGCGTTTCTTGGGGATTGAGTGAAATGAAACTATAAATACAGAGGAAAAATACGCCTTGTAAGTATAACCCTAGTTCTTGAAATAAGAAGATTTCGAATCTATAAACCGCGAAGAAAACTAAAATTACAGCGGGCAGAGATGTGCCAAACAGGAATATAAATTATTGACGCTTCATGCTGAAAATTAGAACTTCAAGCGCACGGAAACGAGTCGGGCTAGTCGAAATGAAAACAACGAGATAAGAAGCACCAAGAACAGAGTTGGCGAAAAGAAATTATAAAAAGCTCACAGCTTGCGGCCGCCACGCAGCGGACTACCATCCGGGAGCTGAACTTAGGGGCTTCAAATCGGAATCCACGGAGGGCAGGACCAGCGAAGGTCAGTCTCCTCTCGGCGGCTTGCCTACAAGGCGAAGCGAAGGATACGGATGGTATGGAGGCCATCTAGGGCTTATTTAGGGCTCACTCTCTTACGAGACGTCCGAAGGAGAGATAAAAAAAAAAGGAAAGGGCAGAACAAACTAGGGTTCCGAGGGAAGGATGATGGTCGTCGCCGGCGGCGGGAACAGCATTACGGGGACGGCGAGCAGGGAGGCGTCCCTTGTGAGGAAGAGAACGGCCTTATCTCGGGTTTCGGAGAAAGCATCTCAGCCAGTAACATGATGCCACTTGGCAGATTCTTTCCGAAGATCCTCTGTAGCACAAGAAATATATTATTATTTTTAATTTCTTTTTATCCATTTCGGATAATGATTTTTCGTCGCAGTAAATGTTTGACTTCTCTTTGTAAATATTTTCGGCTCATATCTACAAGACACGTATTTCAATTACTTCTTAAATATTCTACTATATAATATGGTGGAAATTGTCATAAGGTCACTGACAGCTACGACCATGAAACCAACACAAGCCTCGCAGACCTTTCAATGCCCAACATTTTATCCCAGCTTAACAAGCCCACAGTCCACCCTCTCTGAATCAAGCCTGGCTAATTGGCTAATTGGGCCAAAATGGGCCGTCTCCGGTGACCACACCAGGCGTATACCCGTTGGACGTCACTCCTCACCGTGCATGGAGGGCTACGGATCGAAATCCCGTCCGTCGGACGGATGAAGGACGGAAACCTTTGACCAATCAGCTCCATCGAGTACAAAAGCAACGCAGTCGATTCCTCGTACGATCCAATGGCTAGAACCGCTCTGTGTACTACGTGTCAGACGATCCATGCAATTGCACCAAAAAGCTAAAAGAGCACCGAGGATACGGATGAGGTTCCTTCCTGGGACGCAGATATTTTTACTTGCTCCGTGCCAGGTCAGCACCTTTTCGATTCCAGACGCTTCCTCCTCTCACCGACACGTGCCCCTTGGCCTTCCCGGCCTTTTCCCGATTTCTTCACTGCTGCTCTCGGTGTCCACTGGCTACAGTCGGTAGCTTCGCCCCTTGCCCTGCTCTCCCCTTCCTCTATATAAACCCTTCACGTCCTTCTTTCCCTACGCCTTCACTTTCGTCGGATTCGCCAGCGCGCCGGTGCGGTTGTCGTCGAGTCGGTTTGCGACTGTGTGGTGGCACACAATTGGAGGGGCGGGAGAATGAGAGCGGTGATGGGACTCAAGGAGCAGGCCGTGAAGTCAATTAAAGATACTGCCGGTGGCGTGACCTCCGGCTCGCACAGAGCTAGACGGCTGTCCGGCGGCCTCGACTCCTCCTCCCATGATTTCAAGCCTGCCGAGGCCCGCGGTGAGGGTAAGGTGAAGAGGGCCGAGGAGTCCTTGCGCACCGTCATGTACTTGAGCTGCTGGGGTCCCAATTAACCTGATCTATATGCCATCCCCTTTTGTTCCTCGATAGAAGTATCGATCACCTCTTCGATGCATACAAAAGAAGAAGACTCATCGTTAGTGTCAGTGTATATATATATATATATGTATATATATCGGCTTCAATGACTTTGTGTGCATGGCTGTAAAAATTCCATTGTAAGAATGTACAAAAAGCTGAGGTCTTGGGGAAGATAATGGATGTTTTACCTTGCTCTGTAATTCCATGGTTTCCTGTGGTAGCAAAAGTTCTTGTTGAAACTGTTGCCTCTTCTCTTGCTAATAGTTAGTGCAAGCAGCTGAGCCGTATAATAAACAGAGGAAGAAACAGAGGGGAACAATATAATAATTGGATTGATTGATTGATTGATTCAATGAGGACGAGACATACACGCAGACGATAATAATTGGACTTGTGAACCATGATTGAGGCCCCGCCGTATTAATGAATTATAGGGCATGATTGTGATGGATGGGATCAAGCGACGGATACAAACGAAATGGTTGTCGACCGCATTGTACTAGTCCTGGAATCGGAAAGAAGCGTTCGCCGCTGTCAAAGGGGCCATCTTTCTTTGGAGCTTCTCGGTGGCCTATCCACGAGACATGGTTGTGGTGAGATGGGTTTGACAACGTTAGAACGGTGCCTGTTTGCCATTAGATATTAACAACGTACATTTCAATCTGTATGTGCACATATAATGCATAAACTAGTGAAGATTACTTTGGAACTTTGACTTCCTACTGGACCTACACATTATATTATATTTCTTAGCCCTACAAACCAGCCGACTCACGCAATCCGTCTAATATCTATCTATAGCTGATTATTATGTTCCTCACGCTGTGCTTTCTTTGCGTTCCAAGAGATGAATTAACACACCGATTCTAATTGGGTTGCAGATACAGTGTTTGGACAGCGACTCGACATAAACCCAGACTCGATATCAAACTAATCTTCGGACGTCACAGCAGCATACGAGTTCATGTCGATTGTATGGCTGTTTAGACGAACTCCACCAGCTTGTAAAGCACAAAACATAATCTGAGAAACCAGAGAAATATAATCAAACATCTGATCGGTATACTTGCAAATATACAATTACAGGAGTTGGGAGTGACAAAAAGTTGACCCCAAAATATTTCCCTCAGCTTGGGATCGGATCACTCCCATTCCATCTAGTTGGGTCCCCAGCAGCTCAGGTACATGACCTTCCTCAACGATTCCTCCGACTGCTTGGCTTTCTCACTGCTTCTATCGGAGATGGAGGACGACACCCTGATGGCCTGAGACAAGGACCCCATATTGTTCTTGGCACGCTGGTGCAGAGATCTGAAAGCGTAGTTCCATCTGCAGAGTCCTCCTTGATCTTTGAGTGCTTCCACTGCTCCCACACTCGCTGCCGCTATCCAAGAAGCTTTCCTCACGGAAGCCATCTCCCACCTCGTCTCTTCTGTGTGATTTGTGTAGATTGTAAATGCCTCCTGTTGTGGTTGCCAGTCCGAGGAAGCAGTGGCAAGCATATATAGCCAAGGGGATGGGTTGGTGTAGGTGGTCATGTGAGAAAGCTGGGTGCGTGTGGCTGTTGGTTTCGGGATCCCACTCCCACAAACAAGGGGCTATTTGCACCTTTCGATGGGCCAAAACCGGAGGTTTCACCAAGCTGTAGGAGAAGCGGCGACGCCGTAGGCGACAGCGGTACGGCAACACATCGGTGGCAGCTTTGTATGTGGCAGCGTCATGCGGTGGATTGCAAGCAGATATACTAACGGCTGCTTTTACGGGTGACCGGTTCAAGGCGGCTATTTGCGACTCGGAAGTGAGCTCGATGCTGTACAACGTTGTGGCAAGTTGATGGAAGAGGACATTGTCGCGGTTCTTTCACTTGGTAACATAATTCAACCTGGAGTAACCTCTAACCTGAACCAGCCAAAAATTAGTCTGACATGATGAATTAGATTAGAGCTAAAAGAACAGTAACATCGTTCTCTATTATGTTTCTTGCTGGCACCTATAATCTTACAGGGAGGAATACAAAATTAATAGCAAAAGCAATTATATTGGTCACATTTCACGTGATCAGGAGAGATCATGGGTAAGATTCTCATTGCTCTTTCTGCCTAATCTTGCATAAAGAATATGATTTTTTATTCAGAAACTCTCAGTTGATGTTCTTGTGCAAGAAATTTAATTGAGGTGGGCCTTTTTTAGTGCCTCGTCTATTCTGTTCATCATGTGGGTTAATATCACTACACTATTCTTACATAGCAAGAAAGCTATTGCGCATCTGTTCACCAGAAACTTTCCAATGGTTGCAGATACATATTCCACCCACTATAAGTTGGATTGATTGATTGATTGCACCACTTGATTCTACCTCTTTTTGGTTTAGTATGCGAACCTGAGTCACCACTGTAGTGCGGCACTGTGATAGTGGTCATCGACGAACCAATTTAACACAAGAATTCTCCCAATACAAACAACTAAACAGTGACATCCTCGATCGTGATGTAAAAGCATTATTCCCAGCAGAAATGACGCACAAGAACCATGCATCCGATTGATAAGCCCACAGATGCGTGTCATTACCTGACGGCAAGTGAGGCATCTCTCTTTCTCATTCACTGTACATGATCGCTACACTGGTACCCATCACGACAACTGTTCCACCGTGACCTAAGATGCCCCACAAACATTGTCTGCCGAAGCGAAAGACGAAGGTCCGATGGGCTCGATTCCACCGTAGAACAGGTGGGGTTGTGAGTGAGAGCCACAACATGGTCTATCCTGCGAGAGAGCTAATGGAAATGGACCAAGTTGCAAGGCCATACTTTGCCATGCTCACAATGCGACAATGCAACACGAACGTCGAAAGAGTGACATACCGTGGACATGGGCCATACAAACCGGATGATACTGCCTATTACCAGTCTTGGGTACTCCCTGTTTCGAGGAACCAATGGTCGACTCTGCCGGTTGTTTTGGTCCAAGAAGAAAACCGCTGGCTTCTGCCTCTTGTTCCACCATCGCCTTCGTCCTTTGAGGTTCTATATATACGCCTCTTTCGATCGCCCTTCGAATGATCGGCCCATCGCACAGAATTTCCTCTTTTCCTACCGCAACACTATCATCTTCTCTTGTACAGGATGAAGTTCGGAAACAAGGCATGCGTGGCTGTGACTTTGGGAGCTGCAATTGAACTAAAAGATCAAGTGGCCAAACCGTATTCGTCGGCTATTAAGGGAAACCTGTCGACGATTGGATCATCGACAGCCGAAGTCGGACGGTTCCATAGCACGCCCGAGAGCCCAACGAGCGAATTCAGGCCTCACGATAAGAAGCATTTAGCTGGGGAGGAGTCACTGAGGACGGTGATGTACTTGAGCTGCTGGGGTCCGAGCTGACCAGCTGAGACACAATTGGCGTGCTGGGTCGTCTTCACTTCACCGTAGCCCACGCTTGCTCTCTGGGTACTCCTTGCAGCACGAATTCCAACACGGAGGTACGCCCATAACATCGCAGAGATGCTGCACCAAGGCTCCCAAGTTTGAAGCCAAGAAGGGCCTCGAGGAGCTGAATACATGTACAAAGCAATGTGATCTTTTCAGAATTTTGTATTCAGTCTATAATCAATGATAAATAAAACGCTATAAACAGAGGTACTTTTGCATGAAAGAAGACGAACCCCTTCTATATGCTGTACAATACACAACGTACATACACTGCTACATAAAGAAATCAAGTCCGCTTGCATGTAGCATGTACGTATACCGTGCAACTTTGTCCTCAATGT